GTCATGCTCGCGGGTTAAGTGGGACATTGCCCGTGATGCTCCTTCGATTGAACATCGTCCTCCCTCGTCTTCCCCCCCCCCTCGTTTGCTCACCTCGTCTCCCTCTCTGCCAACGGTTTACCGGGCAGTTCATATACTCGGACGAAACAGTTTGTCACAGCCCCTCGTTTGTTGTCCTCTTCTCTCTCTCTGCCTACGGTTTACCGGGCAGTTCTGTTTGTGACGATATATATATATAGTCAAACAGTATATACTATATATATATACTATATATATGTGTGTATTAATTGGGTCCGAAATGACATCCCTCTTGCCCCGTGTAAAGATGTGCAGCTTTTTTTGATCTGCAGCTTTGGTTGATATCATCTCTCTCTCTCTCTCTCTCTCTCTCTCTCTCTCTCTCTCTCTCTCTCTCTCTCTCTCTCTCTCTCTCTCTTTTTCGAGGGGATAGGGGGAGGGTGAAGGGTAAAAGTGGCCCATTTGGGGTTTTAGATGTACCGAAACGGCCCCCCTGGGAATGCACCCAAGGATCTGGCCATGAGGCCTCGCTCCACTGCTCAATCACATTCTACATGCATTTTTTGGACCCCTTTCTAGACCAGGTGCATTCCGAGGAGTCCTAAATTTTGAATGTATCGGGATGATTATGAGCTCCAGATACATGTGGCGTGTTGTGTAGTGGAGCGAGCCCCATTGATACACAACGAGAAGGTTGGGGTTCTCCTGCAAAACACGAGCATGCACGCTCACAGCAAATCTAATCTACGGGTGATTGCTGCTTCCCCTATTTTTTGCTTTGCCCCCATCCCCCCCTCTCTCTTCCCCTCTTTCTTTGAAATCTCTTTAAATTATTTATTGTACCAAGAGCAAGGAGCCTGGCAATTCCTCCACACCGTCTGGCCTAGCTCAGTTGATACACCCCCCGGGGGCGGTGACCCACTATCAAAAAGGATAGGATCAAGCTCGTGAATCTGAATGTGTTTTAAGCAGAGATGCAGAAAAGAAGTTCAATCTCGATTTCCTGCACATCTCCCTAAACTCGTCCAGATTCAGGCATTCGATCCCATCCTCTTTGCTAGTGGGACCACGCCCCGGGGGCCGGTGACCCACTAGGGGGGGTTTAGTTTATGTTTCGTGTATTTTCCAACGTGGTCACACTTTAAAAAAAAAAAAAAAAAAAAAAACATCTCCTCTCGGTACTAGTGGTGCTGGTAAGAGCAGACACCGCTAGTACCTGAGGAGGGGCTCCATCTATTGGTGGGGAGCATCACCTGCTGGAAAACGGGTCCAGCGTCCCCTTTACAAGAATGACCTTGGGTGACCTTGGATAGTATCAGAATCGGAACTTTGAGGGGTACCTGCCAGCATTGATTACTCTGAATCCAGAGGATTAACTGTGCAGGACATTTGGGGGAGGGGAAAGAGCCTCTTCGCCCTGTACCGGGCGCCTGATATCTGCTATTGTCCGCTAACTCTTATCCTCCCTGTTTCTTCTCTCAGGCAGAAACTATAGATGAGAATATAGATAAGGGATTTGAGTCTGTGAGGAGTACCTGCCAGCATTGATTACTCTGATATTCAGAGGATTGACTGAGCAGTCCTGCTTGAAAGAGGGAGAGAACCCGGGCGCCTAGTACCTACTGCCTCACACTACCTCTCTCAAAACAATCTGACCAGCAAACTCCTCAGACCAGCAACCTCCTCACCGTAGCCTCAGAGCGCCGCTTCATCCTAGCGCCGGCTTCATCTCGCCTTTTCTCCTTGCTCCTTTTTCAAAGGGAGAGGGAAGGAGCCACCGGGGGGCACCAGTGGGGTCCCTTCCTCTCCCTTGACGCTTCGATTCACAGTTAGGGGAAGGGAAACGGGGTAATCATGTGTAATATTCTTCCATGGCCAGGGGATGGGGCGGGCAGGGATCCACAAAGTCTGCTGCTGGGCGGAGTGGGAATGTGGGGTCTATGCACGTCCAATCCTTAAAGGCTAGACGATAATCCCTAGCTGCGTCTGGGATCAACTGCTCTTCTATATCTTCCCCTCCCCATCTGACATCCGCCACCCACCCCCCCCTTTCTCCCCCCAACCAGTCAGTGCAGAAACTCGTCAGCACCCTTTTAATATCCTTGATTTGTTTAAACTGGTCCAGCTGGGTTTTTACGGCCTCCCATCTGCGCATTAATTCTAGCTGGATCTGCTGCTTGATTTGTTCAAAGATTTCGGCCCCTTCCACTAGAACTTTATCCAAGGTGAGGAGGCACCTTTGCCACCATAATGCCCATAATACCGCCCTCCTTCCCACCCTGTACATGTTATCCTCATATGCTGATGTTTCCTGCAGGGGTTGCCAGTGCCCAGCTAGAATTGCCTGCCAGGACCATGGCCACTCCGTCCGTGCTCCCATCCTTCGCCACACTCGGTCCCACCACCTCCATACAAACAGAGCAATGGGGCACTGCATAAAGATGTGCTCGATGGTTTCTATCCTTTTATTGGGGGGGGAGGTTTTCAGACATCGCCGTGAGATTTTCAGACAGATCGGATGGCAAGGAACCATGTACACTAGAAACCAGAACAAAACCTCTAGAAGCGGGACATGGGCCCGGAGCTGTTGGAATAAAGACCCGACCGAGTTTGGGCTCCACTGGAAGCAGATGAGTGAAATACTAGAATTCGGAATTACCAAGGGGGGGGGGACCAAGTCCCACTAGTCCCAGTAGTGGGGGTTTTGTTCTGGGGTTGGGCCCCTTGGTTGATGTGTGTGACATCTTTTTTTTTTCTCACC